AATGCAGGCCTATCACATAAATGAAAGGATTGATTGATGAATTTAAGAACTGAAATTGAAATGACAAAGAGACACCCAAACTTAGAAAAGAGATGTCGGTGCAATCCTAACCAGAACACTGTTCGGCAATTGGGTCATATCTGGAGCTGTAGATATTAGATTTAGGTCTACTTTATATGGATAGAAAGATAAGACATACGCCTATAACTTTTATATGGAGCCCAAGATCTAAAAAGGTCATTTTCAAGTCCAAATTGTAGCAACAACAAAGAAGTTCGAATCTGTCTTCCAGCCTGAGCACTGTTCAGTATTTGGCTCATATCTGGTGTTCTAGAAGTCCAAATGAGCTGAATTTATTACACAAGAAATCTAAGATAATTTCCTACAACTTTCATGTTTTCAAGTGGCTCCAATTTTGACATTATCAATGACATTTTGGGCAAACAAGAGAAGATAAGAATTGTCACCAAGTCAAGAGTTGGTCACCCACTCATCAATTAGTCATCAAATCAATAGTTCTCAATTTTGGCCTATAAAAGGAGGCATTTGCCATGCATTTAGGCATCTTGGTTTCCAAATCAAGATCATGCTCTTGCTTTCTCTCTTTGCATTTTTTGTAATGTTTATGCTTTGCTTTCATTAATATCAAGTTTATGCCTTTCATTTACTTAGTTAAATTTTATCTTATTTATGTTCTTATTTTGTTTATTTATTTTTCTTTCTTTCATTATGTCTAGCTAAGTTTATTATATCAAGGTGAAAAGGTTACACTAATGGTGTAAGAATAAGTATAATGTAAACTTAATATGGACTTTAATGTTTGATACTAACATGTTTTATATTTGTCTTGTTCACTCTATAATACTTTGCTTGTTAAATGATGTATTTGTTATCTTGTTCACTCTTTAATACTTTGCTTGTTAAATGATTAATCTTGATTTATGTTGTATAACACTTGGTACAACAAATGCTTGGCACTTTCATAGCCCATAATGTATGGTATAACCGACACCTGCGTTATGAAAGGAACTTGATTTGTTGTTAACATAAGTTATAATCATGAATGCTTGATGAGATTTACAATTATTAGCATTAATCGAATAAGATGACTAATGTAATCTTGTTAATAATCTATAATCTGATTGGAACCTCCTTTGTGTGTGGTTTCCAATTAAATAATAAGAGTTTATACTATACTTGTTTGACATACCATTAGTGGAACCTCTAACCTTGACATTTGTTATTATCATTGTTTAATCCTTACATTAATATTCCATCTCAAAGTTCTCATCTTTTTCTTCTTTTTCTCCTTCTTTTTCTTTATTATTATTATTATTGTTGTTATTGTTATTATTGTTATTGTTGTTGTATTATTGTTATCTATAATTTATACAATTAACCTCCCTGTGGTTCGACCCCGGTCTTGCCGAGTTATTTATTACTTCAACACTCCTGCACTTGGGAAAAGACATCAGTCTTTTAGTCGTGTCACACTTCTAAAACATATTCTTTCGAAGAACCTCCCTTATACTTATCACTCGAATCACCTCATGATATATAATTCTCAACAAAAATGTAAGTTTATTTTCAAAATAAAAATAATGTATATCTAATATAAATTTCTCAACTATAGGTATTTAATGGGGGCTTCTAAACACTCTCATTCAAGGGGATTGACTTGGTCTCCTTACGACAATAGTCCAACAATCTTTAAGGGATGGGTATGAGGTTTTCATATTGCAATGACACATTCTCTAGGTGATCTCAAATCCTTTATTCTCTAATTCAGTTTCAAATTAGCATATTTTTTAGGTGATTTCAAAAGGCCTCTCACCAATTCACCAATAATTGATCTCGAATCTTCTATTCTCTAATATAGTCTCGGATTGATGCACTATCAAAGTGATGTCTAAATTCCTCTCAGTCATTTGTTAGGGATGATCTTAGATCTCCCATTATAAGAAAACAATTATATACCTTTCATGTTTCAATTCAAGCACTCGCTAAGGGATGAACTTAGTCTTTTTAATGTAATAAAACCACCTTCCAAGTCCTTCATTTCATTGATAAATTCACATCCCAAGCCATTGTTTAAAGTGTTTATTTTACTTACAAAGTATTAGCATTTATATATCATTAATATTTACAATGTAAAAGATGCTTATTTGTTATGTTTTCATAACTATTAAGTTTTCATGAAAACATGTTTAGTATAATAGTATATACAATTATATGAAAGTTGATTAGAGAAGTTAAAGATAAAAATCTACTTAAATTAAATTTATCAAATTATTGAATATTTTAGCCATCTAAACTAACTCATAACCATCTAAACTTGTTATTTAACTAAGTAGCAGCTAAAGAAGATGTAAATGAGTTCAAATAAAATAATCAATTTCTTATACTTTCCTAATTCCTTTTCATCAATGAGATTATAAAATTTTCATGTATATTTTAAACATTTGTATGAGATTTATATTAAATAAGCAAATCAAACAAATGAGATTATAAAATATCAAACAAACCAAACCTAGTTCGTATAAATAAATTAACAAATCAATCTAGCAAACCAAACGAGATTTATATTAAATCTAGCTAATAGGTGTGGATCCCGCGGCTAGTTAAATTAGACAATTAAGTCTAGGTTCCATCTTAAAGATTTAAGTTTTATGTTAGACGGTTCATTCTCAACTGCGAGCATTAATATATATTAGTTAACTTCAATAATTAATTATGATAAGGAATAAGAATTATCATCTTTAATTCTTGATTTAGGTACAAGAGCTTATGCGTTAATAACTAAATATGGAAAATAGATGAAGGAAATACACGAGTTCATCAATTTTCAGATTTAAATTCAATTCCATTTGATGACATATATTTAAACAAAAGAATTAAACTTCATAAATTATTATCTATATTATGAAGAGTAGAAATACAAAGGGGCAACGCGTGACTGGAGAAGACTGATATTCACTATCATACAACTTGCAACGCAAGGCATGGAACTAACGCATGCCGCCTGAGAACCGCCATCAAGTCTTGAAGATGATCATGACAAGGTAAGGCCGGAGGAGAAGGCAATGCCGGCCATATTCAGACCCTTCATCTCGCAATCAGGCAGAGGGAGCCAAGCCCAAAGACTCCTCCCCATATCATAAGATAGCCAAATTATGTCCCATAAGCCATCATAGTTAGACAGCAAAACAGCCCTAACTATCCCATCTCGTCTTTCTAAGCATCCTCTCATAGCTCGATATGGTTTCCGGATCTGCTCCTTTATCTTGCAAGGAACCTTTGAGATATACTCCCAGTTATGCCAGCTTCCATTCAAGCGCAAGCCCCCCCATAATTCTATGTCATTGAGCATCCTCACTCCTGTACTGTTCCCGTCATCTTCATCACCGTCGCTCGATTTTATGACCAGCATGATCCCGTCACCGTACACCTGTAACAGGTTCAGTCCATCGCTCGGTCTCCAATTGAATCTCGGCCGTAGAACAATTGGTGCATAATTATTATGAGCATCACGCTCCAATCCAACGGCTGTCACTATGCTTTCATAGGGTCCGTCGATCACATTGAGAAATACGTGGTCATCCTCCTTCTGACAGACACGTGGCATTCCGGCAGGAACTTCCCTCGCTTCAGTGGACTGCCAGGTGTCAGTTTGCGAGGAGTAAACAAACAAAACCGGGGAGTTGCGCACCAAATCCACAAAAAGAAACTGAAAGTGATCGGGCCCGGTGATAACCAGTTTCATTCAGGATCTTCGCCAGGAAGACGTGCCACGTGGACCAAGTGGGCTTGGCGGGATTGTTTTCACAGCTTTAGTAACCAAATTGAGGGCAATAACTTCCCCGCGAGTGTTGGAAACAAAAAGAAAGACCTTGCAACTAGCCGTCAGAAAATAGATATCATCACCTGGACGGATTATGGGTTTCAATAAACTGTCAATCTGAAAGCTGAACCAGCGATTAGACTGGTCGTTGAAGCCATGAAGCAAGGCGTCACGGTTCCACCTCTTCTTGCAGACGAAGAGCCATGCGGTGGACCTTGCCCGAGAGTTGTACGCACGTACAAAATAATTATCGGAGATTACATCGGCAACGAATCTCTTGAGTGACTTTAGACAAATGATTTCGGGCAAGGCTAGATGGAGGAGTATGTTCTGGATGATCTCTGAAGGAAGGAGGCAGAATCCAATGGTATTTGTTGATGAACTGTCATGATTAGTTTCCATCATGAGCCGGAGGCTATTTGCTACCAGCTCCTGAAACTCTAGCGGTGATATCTATAATTCCAGTGTTGATGGATTGCTCTTGTATAGAGACGGTGTAGCCGGTCTCTTGGGAGGGCTCGACCTGCAAGCTACTTGGAAGTTAGTGATGCTTTCGTTATTAGTTAATAAGATTGTAGCGTGTGAGTATACGAATGATATAAGCGATGCAAGCATAGATGACAGAGCATCGCATGCGGATCGATACCCATATATGGACGGTGAGTGAAGTGGGACACATTACATATATTATATCTGTCCTTGGAAGAGGTGCATATTTAAAATAAATGAAGGTCAGGGTAGTATTATTTTTTTCTAAACTTAGAAAAATGGCAAGCATGAAGATTTTTTTAGTACTAAAATACAATGAAGCAGTTCAATCTTTAAACCTATTAATCAGATTACTTGCTTTACTTAAACTTTTCATTAAATTATATAAAAATTAATTTAAAATAAATTATTTAATTTAATAGGTCCAAAAATAACTTAAATAACCGATAAAAACATGACATATTTTTTTTAAAATAAACTTTAAGATGATAATTTTTTTTATATTGAGATAATGACAGATTAGATCTACCTTGATCACCCAACGACCTGAATCATAGATTTCAACAGGTTTAATAATTTTGTTATTTTTGTAAATTATTTTTATCTAATTTTATGATAACATTGTATGCTTTTAAAATAGAGCATTAACCCTAAAAAAATATTTATTTGAAATTGTGATAACCTTATAGGAAGTAGGAAAAAAATAAACTATAAATTTTATTTCTCAACCAATCTAATATTGAGTAAGAGTAAAATATAAAATTTTTGAAAAATCGGATGTCCAAAATATTTTAAAAAAAAGGTTTGATTGGTAAACCCATAAAACTCGTGAATTA